CCTATATTGGACTAGCAGCACCGCACCAACCCTTGCCAAGTGCACGCCAACTGATAAGCAACGACAAGCTTCTGATGCAGTTAATATATCCTGCATGCCTACGCGACAAGTGCCATCCGTCTATGCGCCGGGCGTGCCCGTACTAGCGATTGCGAAATCCGATGTGGTTGAAGACCGAGGTTTGGTATGGAATGAGTTTATATCGTGGGAAGAAAGCGGCGCGAAAACCTTGAAGTTGCGATTTCTACTATGTCGTAAGAACCTGTAACATTTCCGAAGATTTTACGAGTCCATCGCGCAGCATACGAACGTCCCCGTCACACTTCTGTTTCCCGCGATGGTGGTTTCAACAGAGTGTTCGGATAGCTTCCCAGAAAGGCAGGAGGACCTGTAGTTGCAAGCACTACGACCACATAGTCGGGCACTGTCTCGTACAGTTGATGAATATCTGAGTGATTTGATAGGTGGACCTCGACCCATACACAAGAAGGTTCGCTCACAGAGGTCTTCTCATGTCGACTGGTCCAATACACATGCAGAATGTTCTACCATACCCTTGTACCGTCCGGAAATACACCGATCTCACGATTCGAAAGCGCTCCAATGGATAACTCATGCTACCAATTAGTGATTTCTATCTCGGCATTTGACCTGATTGATCTTGTAGGCCGCTTTCCAATCCACCAAGAAGGGTGCATCTAGCTGGATAGCTTTGCACCTGACCAGTGGCTATCAGGAAGGTATCATCAGGTCATGAGTCTGGACTATCGCGCCATCGTATACCGAAACGGGGCGAATATATACAACATGGTGTTGGGACTTGAGCCTGGGAAATATATAAGGAGCGTCAAATGCCGCTGTTAGACTGATCAACGCAGCAAGTTCTAGCAGTCCATCGCTTCCTCCTCAATATCCTCGCTCTCTTCGCCTCTCGTTTCTGAGTCTCAAGTTCACTCATCCTTCAACATGAAGCTTTCTATCGCTGTCCTCGCCGCCATCACAGGCGCAGTCCTGGCCCGTCCCTCAAACCTCGCCGAGCGTGTAAAGTCTCGCGCCGATGGGACTCGTCGTCACAGGACCCAGCCCATGATCTTGGTCGGCACCGCCGCGAAGGAAAACTCCAAGTTCGTCGCTGATGTGGACAACACCACCGCCCACGTTGACTATTCATCCAACTGGTCTGGCGCCGTTCTCGAACAGCCCTCCTCCGGCTACTTCAAGTCAGCCACCGGGCGCTTTACGGTACCAACACCCAAGCACGTTGGCTCCGGTGGAACCGAATCCGCGTCGGCTTGGGTTGGAATTGATGGCGATTCATGTGCCAGCGGTCTGCTCCAGGCCGGTATCGACTTCACCGTCAGCAGCTCCGGCGCTGTGTCCTACGATGCTTGGTACGAGTGGTACCCTGACTACGCCTACGACTTCAGCAACTTCGCCGTCAAGGCGGGAAACGTGATTCAAGTCGACATCACCGCCACCTCCACCACCAAGGGTACGGTCAAGCTCACCAATGTGAGCACTGGAAAGAGCGTCAGCCAGACACTTAGCGCACCCAGCGGCTCCATTTTGTGCCGTCAGAACGCCGAGTGGATTGTAGAGGACTTTGAGTCTGGAGGCAGCTTGGTCGCACTGAGCAACTTTGGCACTGTCGTTTTCACCCAGGCTAGTGCTGCTCTTAGCACTGGTGGATCGGACGGACTGAGCAGCGCTACCATCATCGATCTCAAGCAGGGTAGCACTGTCTACACTGACGTTACCATCAACAGTGGATCCCAAGTCACTGTCCAGTATATCTAAGCGATGAATGGTAAAGGATGAGATGAGGTCTTTCGAGGTCGGGATGAGTTTGGGATGATGTATGGATTATGATTGCGGGTGAAACATAGTATTTCGGCATATTTCTGATAGTCATGTGAATGCATTCATACTAGTCCCAGCGCTGTATAACCTGACATGTAGACAACCTGAATACATCCAGCGAGTCCTCGTTTACCAAAGCACGTTGCTACCTGTTCGTGACTTTTCCTAGGGTGTATCTTGAGTACCTTTTCACTTCTTTTCTCTGGTACCCTGCTGGCTGCCAGCGTTGGCGTTGCAGTCGCCAGCACCCTGAGCATGTGCAGCGAAGCCACCCGAAGACATATCGCCGCCGCTTTTGGCCTGCGCGAAGCGAGAACTAGCATTGGAACCTGTAAACGCCTTGACTTGACAGAGCGAAATGACCTGGTTGAGTAGAGTGTATCCTAACAACGTCTGACTTGCCCATCGGGGTGGGGGTCTTGTCGCTACCACCAGTCTCGGACTCCTCGTCAGAAGAAAACATGATATTAGCGTGACGAGTATATTATATAATTGTCCTGATGAGATTCCGCCATGAAGCTGTGGTATCGAAGAAAGATTGCGAAGCCTTCTTTCCTTTGGAGAGAAAATACCTTTTTATATCGCTCTTTGAAGCCATTGTTCTGGTAGTTGGCATCTTTCCACGGAACTAATCATGACTCGAAGGACTACGCATAACATAGTACAGCACTGACACTATGCCTTGCAGATTGGAACGTTAGTGTAGGTACAGGGGATGACCTACATCCTATTCATGACGAAGATAGTCCCGCATCTCTAAAAGGAGATTGGAAATGGTTGTGGATTGGGGAATGTATGAACTATCTGCTGACGAGCTCTCATGAGGGGTTCAGCTTAGCCACATCAATCGATCCGACGTATTCCCAGCTTCTTGCTATTCCTCTACGGCCGGACTAAGACACTACTCGCTCGGCAGGAACCAGAATGGATTTGTACATGGCTTCCTAAACCCCGTAATGTTCCCGATGCATACACATGGCGTAGTAAATCGAATTAACGACGAAAATCAACGTAGATGCAACAAAGTGTTGCGTTTCGCCTTCCAAATCTAGCACCTTTAGCATTCCTTTCGTTTGACACTTACGTACCAAGCAACTTACGGAGCATGCTGCCGACAATGTGGCAATATGTTGCGTATCACAATGACAGATATGATGCGCATTATTTGTAGCTCTTGGTATTCTCGTAGCTCAAGATCGATATCCGAAGTACCGATTTGTACTTAGTTAATGTACTTCGTTTTTCGACAGAGCGGGCGGCACGGCTTCGTATGGTAGACGAAAACTTGGATACCCGTCAGAAATTCCAAATCGGCTTGACTTGAAACGACCCAAAAAGTCGCCAGCATGTACTCAGATTATCCGTTCCGTGATCGAAAGAGAAAATCTTCAACATCTGTTATATACATCGCAATAACACTTCTCGTATGTTGGACAGCTTGTGCAGATTAGCAGCTACACAACCCAATTCTGTTTCGTCGGATGCTTACTAAACAGGTTCTTGACCAAACATGATGTGCCAGAGATATTCAAAAACACGTCCGCTTGTTTCATCCTTCAGTGGAGTTTCCATCAACCACGTGTAATACTTTCTGTATGTGTCCAATGGTCGCTTCTGCACTTGCCTGCTCGATACAGCAAATTGCGCACAGCAAGGGGTCGCGAGCACGTGCGGTACATCGGTGTTGTTGAACAAATCTCGCCACGCATCTGGCATCGCTGCTTCGATTGTTCGATGCTCCTCAGGCGGATCACGGAACGGCATCACTTCGTGCGGACAGCCAGGATCGTTGACGCAACGCAAATTCGCGTATCCGTTGCTCTGAATGAAGTCGATGTTGAGAGTTTGCAGAGAGATCACATTGGAATGCTCGTTATTGTCGGTGTGCCAGGCGATGGGGTAGCCGTCTTTGTGCGGATGGATGAACGCTATTGTTGAAGGGAGATTGTCGTAATTCTGTACGATGTATGCGAGGTATGCATTTGCTTCCATGCCCTTGTTCCGAAGGGTACGTAGAGTGCTGTTAGTGAGCGGATCCAGGGTGGATATGTTGTGCGGGGTCTCTGTGTCAATGTCGTAGATGGCTGATTGCCAGTCTCGCAGGTCGGTATGCACCCATCGTGTGTCGTCGGTCGGAAGCTTGGCCATCACTACGATGCGATCAGGTAGCGACGTGCTAGGTGTCGCGACCGCAGTGCTTTTCGTCAGTGTGCTTGTGTGGTGAGAGGTGGTGGAGGTCGATGATGTTTCCTCTTTCGTGCCTCCATGTGTGATTCCTTGCCCAAGTATATTTCGCTCTCCTTCTACTTCTGCTGTCTCAAGTCGCTCCGGCTTCTCCACACCGCCAGCCTCAACAGACTCTTCTTGAACACGGTTTAAGCGGGTGTCAAACAGGAACCATGCGCAGAGCACGAACACTGCTACCACCATGAATTCAATTCTCCTGTGGAAACGCAACATTGCTTGATGGTAAGAAGGTGAATTACTCGAGGAATGATAGAATTTGACATGTGAAAACGCGTTTCGAAAACCGATTGGTGTAAGATATCATGAAAGCAAAGGTTTGCTTTGCACACACGTGCGCGGATAATATAAGTGCCTAGAGGTGATGCAGGTTAACAGGAAGTGAAGAACAACCGGGTCGCGCGGCGTAGAGCACCCTACCGAAGGAAATGCGAAAAGTGCCTCTTGCAACAAGAAGGAATCGTTCGACGAAGCTATGGCGATGTAGCATTGCGGCACAGCTCAGGTGTTATTGAAACACGTACGAGGCAATTGGTGGGGCAGACACTTATTTCAGCACTCATCCCAGAAACCCAGCGCAACGGCAAGTTGAAAACAGGCAATGCGCGGCCTGGTTGAATTCAAAAAGGTGCAGGAAGTTCCGCGACAGCGCTAAGCGGCGCTTAGCGGCGTTGGCCGATTGGTGACTCTATGTAGTTGGCGCTAACCACAGGTGATTGCGATGCAGCGTGGCATAAGCTAACGAGAGTACAACACCAAATCTGGATGAACATGCCAAGCTACTCATTTGAGAATTGTCAGCCGAAACCACCGTGCCGCCTTGTTTCCCCTTACTCTATCAGTTGCTACTTCTTTGGTCCTCCTTAACGTGGTAACCTTCAACATCGAGTATCACAATGGGTCCGCCTATACGCCTGTGGGCACTGTTTCTGGGGGGATTACACTTCGTGACTTATGCGAGGAGTCAGTGCCAGCCACAGCCCGTGGTAGCGCTCATTCAGAACGTATCTTTGCCCAACGGAGCATTCGTCAGAGGGATTTCTACGACTATCGGCTCGAACAACCAGAACATCTCATTCTTCGCTAGCGGGTAAGTCTTACAATACAATTGGCAGGTTCTGATCCAATCAGTCTATCCATTATCTCGTATAGAGTAATAGAATGTGCTAAAGCCTCAGCGAGCTTAGGAATTCAGCATAGCTAACTACCAACAGTGATTACAATGAGACTTACATCTATGGAACTGATGGATTCTGTACAGATACATACTCACCCGAGGCGTGCGTAACGTTTCGTGGAGGCGCATACGACGCATCAAAATCCTCTACTGATAAGTCGATCGGTACCCAAAAGAAAGGCGACGGTTTCGAAGCGGACTGGACACAAGATACACTCAGTTTTGGCAGTAACACCTCGTTGGCTTCATTTGAATTCGGCGTTCCGCAACAGGATCTCAACCAAGCATTCACCAGCCAATCTCAGCTTGGCCTGGGTATGAACTCATCGTTTTTGCGGGCACTCGTATCCGCAGGTGATATAGGTACAAAGGCATACTCCATGTTTTGGGGACTGGTTGGTGGTCCCGCAGAAAAGCAGACTTTGGGGTCACTGGTTTTCGGTGGCCTGGACAAATCGTTGATCACGGATCAAAATGACAACTTCACGGCATCGCTGTTCCAGGGCAGTAAATGTGGAACGGGCATGGTGGTAACGATCAACGACATCCTTTTGAATTGGCCGAATGGTACCGATATGAGTATCTTCATGGGGTCACAATCAGCGGCCATACAAGCGTGCATCAGTCCCAGTTTCGCAGGGCTGATGTCCCTCCCACTGAGCTACTACCAAAACTTCTTGTCACTCGCAGGCGGGACACCTCCAGATGACGAAAACGAGGCGAGAAGCGTCGGTATCAATTACTTCACGATGCTTTTTGACCCGAAAGACGTGTAAGTGCCGTAACATTACATCCAAAGGTATACTGCTAATCATGGTTATGTAGTTACTACGGCGGGCTGACAAACAAGCTTCAAAATAACATGTCCATAAAAAATCCCAACACCGAACTAGTTGTTCCCGATACATTCATTGCCTCCGATGGCACAGTTCAAACGAACACATCGGTCCGCAACGTCGTCATCAATTCGCTTCAGTTCGACAATAGTAACGATCTGCCAGTCCTTGGCCGATTGTTCATGAGCTCCGCCTACGTGATGGTCAATCAGGAAGCTGGAGTGTTCACTCTCTGGCAGGCAAACACTGCACCAAAGACTGACGATATAGTCGCAGTGGACAAACAAAACAACATGGTCAGTGAATTCTGCGCGAGCTCTACGGACGGATCGCCTAGCGCTACATCCGTGCCCACGTCCTTTGTCACGTCTCCACCACAAAACGAAGAGTCAAAGCTGTCAAGTGGCGCAATCGGTGGGATAGTTGTGGGTGCTGTGGGAGGCATGGCCATACTGGGGGTAGTTGGTTTCTTTTTGTACCGGAGGCGAGGATCAAGTGGGACTGAAATAGATGTGGCACAGGAACCAGAATTGCATCCAGTACATTTGAAGCCGCCTACCTACAGTATGGTGCAGGAGCTTCCTGTAGAACAGTATGGTATCACGGAGCTGGATGGTAGAGCCGTGGATAGTAGTAGATATTAGTGCAGGAACTGATTGATCCATAGTTCACAGCTAAAAAGTGTCTATAGCCTCCTGTTGTAATTGCGATAGCTTCTATCAGTAATAGGCAGATATTCCGGACGGTTGTGGGGACTGCGTGGTGCGTCTGTAAGTTGTAAAAGGAATATTTCTGACACATGCGACCCGATGGCAATGGCAACCGGTTCTCCTGCCTGGGTTGGGGGCTGTTGTGGTCTGTATCGTGTGCGCTGTGGTGCGCATTCTTACCCAGATGTTTTCGGGAACTCTAGATATCTGCACCGAACGAGCGATAACCGGTTTCTAAGGAGAGGTGGCAAATTCGACCATTCTAGAGCAGGTCCAGAGCATTGAGATCCAGAACTTGCTAGGCATATAGCGAGCCTCAGACGTGAACGAACCAAACCATGCGCAGAGGAGGCATTTCGTATGAGACTCCAACAGCGTAATCCTGCACCTAAAGCAACAGACATGTAGCAACAAGAAGAGGAAGGAGGCTGCAATAAACACACTCCAATAGCACTTCACAGGCTGACCGGTATGATTCCGGAAAATCAGCCGCGCAGACCCGAGCCTCGAGTTGCCTAACCAATCCAACATGTGCGGCAAGCCCCCCCGACCACCTTCCTTTTCGGGATAGAGATCTTCCAGAAGCCACCTACCACGTCTGTTGCATTGTACCTAATAGCTTTAGCCGTTCGTCTCGGGTCGCAAAGTAGAGGTGGGCTGTCGTCACAAGGCGAATCCCGATCTTACGTGAGCCTCCACACACGCACCACGAAGTGAAGATGGGGGTTTGTAGACTAGATGTAACCTGCTCCATCTGAAATGTGAGATACTTGCGTCAGGGAACCGCCTAAACATACAACATCCATCATGCCCTCTCTCAAACAGCGCCCCGCCGACCCTGCGACAAGTGCACTCCACGTGCGAGTCTGGAGCGACCCCGCACACAAGCTTTGTGCAAGCTTTCTTCGATGCGTCGAAGCGTTCGCTAGCGACTTCTTATCAGAAACAAGTGGCCCGAATATCAGCTAGCGTGCCTGTAGCGTACGTTAGCGCTTAATGTGGCTGAGCGGTTCATTGATAACGTGTTGGGGTTTGAGCGATATTTGGGCGTTACGCGATTGCGCAAGTGAATACGTCGCAGGCTAAGATAAGCACAGAAGGTCCGACATTGGTGCTCTTCCAGACCTGCTGATATTCGTTCCCCTGACTCTACCCTGGGATCCCAGCTGGTGGTCCGCCACGTGAACGCGCTTGAAGCCAAAGTATGGTGTGCAGTAAAGAGACGCCAGAAGCACTGTTTCATTCTTGATTGGAAGCGACAACGCCATACAGGCCACCCAAGGCATTGGAACATAACTTCACAACCACTCACGGAGGCCCCGGATCCGTCAGTCTACCATTATGTTGCATGACAACATGGGGCGTAACCCTAGACTTACGAGGGTGCATGTACTATACCAATTAAGTGATGAACGCCGTGCGAGAGGGCCTGACATAGTGATTTGTGGGCGAAGATAGGCTCAGTCCCTGTGCGCGAATGCAGCCACCAAATGCCCGCCACTGATTGTCTAGCCGCGAGCTCTCTTCTCGAGTATATTACCGCGTCTCGCACACACCTCGCATCTTTCACTCGTGCCCTACATCTTGGCCTCCTTTCTTTGATCGCCGCTCGACGTTCCAATCGTCTGCGATTTTTGACGTGTTCACTCCGTCTGAGCTTGCCCAGGTGATCTGAACGTCACAAGGTCCTCGCTGGTTCTTATCACGTTTTCGCCACCATGAGTCTCGCGCACGAGACGGAAAAGAATCACTATGGCGATCCGCCTCCAGTGCATTACTCCCTGGGGGATCACGCCAAAGGACATCAGCTCAGTGCCAATGACGAGGATGTCGCTATTGTCATTTCTGATCAAAATGAGCTCAGGAAGGACTTGAAGGGTCGTCATATGCAAATGATCGCCATGTCAGTCTCTCCGAACACTCCTTGACGGAGTAACTATGCTTTACTGCGACTAACATGCTTTGTAGTGGTGGTGCCATTGGCTCCGGTCTATTCATTGGTTCCGCCTCATCCTTCGTCACTGGTGGACCAGCCTCTGTTATCATCGGATTTACCCTCATTGGCATTATGATGTACTTGATGATGCAGGCATTGGCTGAACTCGCAGTCATGTATCCAATCAACGGAGCCTTCACCATGTACATCTGTCGATTCATCGATCCATCCTGGGGCTTTGCCTGTGGATGGCAGTACGCTATCAGCTGGCTCACTGTCCTGCCTTTCGAAATCTCCGCTGCTTGCAACATCATCCACTACTGGTCAGGATCGCAGGGAATCAACAACGCTGCGTGGATCACACCACTTCTCGTCGCTTTGATCGCCATTCAATTTTTCGGCGTCAAGGGTTATGGCGAGGTGAGTGCACTGCTCTGCAGCCTCCTCCACTATGAGACAACCAGAATAACATTTCTGAACAGGTCGAATTCGTACTATCCATCATAAAGGTTACGGCTTGTGTAGGATTCATGATTCTGGGCATCATTATTGATACCGGAGGTGTGCCAACCGACGACAGAGGTTATATTGGCAACAAGTACTAGTACGTCCTCCATAGTCGGATCGCAGAGTTGTCTACTGACCATTTCTAGCAACATTCCTGATGTGACCTCCGCAGGATTCCGTAACGGTTTTCATGGATTCTGCGGTGTTTTCGTTAATGCAGCCTTCGCATACACTGGCACCGAGCTTACTGGCTTAGCAGCAGCTGAGACGGATAATCCAAGGAAGGAGATTCCCAAGGCCGCGAAGCAAGTCATCTACCGAATCATCCTCTTCTACGTTGTTAACCTTGCTCTGGTCGGCCTGGTTGTGCCGGTCAACAACGAGGCACTGAACGGTAGCGCTGGCGCCAGTTCGCTTCATTCACCTTTCGTGATCGCTATCCAGCTCGCCGGAATTAAGGTTCTTCCATCCATCTTCAATGCCGTCATTCTCATTGCAGTCATGAGCGTTGCCAATGCTTGTACCTTTGGCTCCACACGCACAATGCAGGCTCTTGCGGCGAACGGTGAGTGTCCTGCATCATACCATACTAGTTCCTCACTGATCATAATCGTTATCTAGGTATGGGTCCGAAAGCCACCGCCTACATTGATAAGAAGGGCCGTCCAGTTGTTGTGGTAGCTATTCAGCTTTTGTTCGGACTGTTGGCATACATCAATCTCGCCCCCAACGGTGGAGATATTTTCACCTGGTTGCTATCCTTATCTGGCATCACAGTGCTTTTTGTCTTCGGCAGCATTGCTATCGCACATATCCGTTTCCGCAGAGCTTGGTGAGTTCCATGCAGCAGTATGCAAAGTCTATATAGACACTAATGTTCCTTAGGGCCTACAAAGGGCACACCCTGGATGAGATTCCATACAGAGCTTCGTTCGGTGTTTGGGGCTCTTGGGTATGCTTCTTCATTTGTGCCATTGCGCTCATCGCCCAATTCTACGTTGCGCTCTGGCCAGTCGGTGGTGGGGCTCTCAGCGCAGAGACCTTTTTCGAACTCTACATGGCGGCACCTTTCCTCGTTTTCTTGTACTCGATTTGGAAGGTGTACAGCTGGTTCAAGTTTCCTTCACATCGCCCATTGTGGATCAGAACTAAGGACATTGACATCTATACTGGAATGAGGCAGGGACAGAGAGAGATGATCAGCGGCGAAGGTGTGTCCGAAGAGCGGAGGCGCGCGAGCATCCAGGAGATGAACGACGAGCAGAAGAAGAAGGGTGTCAAGGCCCGCGTTATGGCGGCTGTTCATACAGTATTTTAGTGGTGGATTTACCTTGCTAGTAAGCGCGTCCACAGAAATGAAAAGTTCTCAAGGGTGCAAGAGTCTGGTAGATTCTGGACTCAAACAACCGTAGACATTGAAACGCAATCTATCTCTCCAACCACAAAACCCGATGAACTCCCTAGGCTGACGTCCCATGAGAACAAGAAGAATGGTCGAGAACGCAACGCGAAGGCGAACACGTGCATGCAGACACTGATACTCACTGCACACTCATACGAAGCGCATAAGGTCTTCTGCTAATTCAAGGGGCGCATTTGGCTTTGTATAAACAGCTGTAGAAGGATTTCCATCCCTCGGAAAGTTTGTTTGAATGAATCTATCGTGTTAGTTTGGTTGGCATGCCTATCTACGAGAGAAGCTGCCTACACCTATGAGCTGATCACTCTGTGCTCTATTTTACTAGTAATTAGTTTTGAATCTTGATAGCCCGCTTTAACGAAGAAAGCTGGCTCCCAATGGTCATGTGCATGGTCATTCCTTCAAGTTGACATTGACCCTATCGAACGAGCCATGTAAGGTAAAGCTTGATGTGCCTGATTGAAGGTGCTTCAGGCAATGTTAGCTCTTCTGGACACCGGCTGCCCAACACGTGTCTGGGAACCTATAGGAAACTATTGAGGTGTCAGACGATGTTCGTAGTACTCTTCGCAAGCGTAACATACTCGTATTACTGTCCAATAGACATGCGATAGGCTTACAAGGCTAAACGAGATCATTGTAGCCTCTGCATCGTTGTGGGTGGGCGGGTTGAAATGATGTATCGTTCGACTGCGCAACCGCCAGTAGGTCAGTGATTTCCACTGTAAAATTTATTCTTTGCACTTCATTACAATAGAATAGCGAAAGAAATGTGAATGCCCGGTTGCGTAGATGTTCTTGTTATATTCTAGTAACCGGGAAACAGGATCGCGCATGATGGCGCATCGGCTGCGCCATGGCCTGGCAGGGGTGGAGTCGGGCGTCTGTCAAGTACTGTCGGAGGCCGACACGTGGAGCCGTTAGTACAGAAATCTGTACGTGCTAAGTACCCCATTCGCCTAACCCGGGGTGCTGCAAACTGGAGAAATATGGGTTTTTACGTCGACGGGACAAGAGACGGTTGGTTCTCTTGTCTCAGCTGTTATCTGTCGTTGCACCGTAAATGGATCATTTACAAGCTCGTGTTTCGGCATCTGGTGTTCGACGAATGACCTCGGCCCCCAACCACTGTGCCACACGCGACCATTAACCAAGATTATGCAAATCTCGGAACTTGCCCTGCCTTTCCCTCAATTTCACACGCGCGCTTCGCTCTGCTCGCCTTACTCAAGTGATCACAATACTATTGCGCGGGTGTTGGAAACTGTGTCCTACTCCTTGGTTGCTTTTTCCCTTTTCGGGCCTTTTTTGAGATACAGTCTTCTATACTGAGAACGAAAATACCGCGTGGAAAGAGTGAAAGCATAATCTCCTGAGCCTACGCGAGCGTGCGCAAGAACAGAGCGCTCCGCGATCGCTTTCTACTCATGAAACCGAACTGTGGATGATGGTAGGAACTTTTAGACTATTTCGACATGCTGGAAAGCTATGGAAAAAGTGAGTTCCACCTATCGACTGCCGCGTTAGCAAAGCCCGTCGCGCCAGTGCGCGTTGCAGAAGACCTGGTTCGCTTTCACAACGCCGCAGAAACAATAGTCTGACAGCCAAGTATCGATAGCTGTATATATCAATTAAGATCACTACGCCTCACTACCAAGAAATATCGCCTTGACAGCTGTTGTACGCAGATGTATAGCCTCAATTTGATCGTTGTGTTGGTGTTCGGAGTGGGCATCCCGCCATCCCGGTACCACGCCGCAACCTCGGTACGGGCTAGCGTAAGCTTCGACGTGACAAGCTGCCATCTCACCAATCATGTCCGCGCTTGACCACAATGGCTTAACACACCCTCATGGGATGTCTGATACACTCCACAGCACGAGTCCACATTCGCGCCAGGATAAACAGTCCATGGATGGCTTGATCTTTGTTGCCAAGGGTGATTTTTGCCGAGCTCGGGAGTTTCGCATCAGTCAACACTACTTCGTTCGTCGCCACGATAACACGCTTCACTACTCCAAACTCATCTGTGGTGTGGTCCAGAACATCTTCGCCTGTTGATCATGACCCTTTCACAGGAACAGCTTCTCGATCCGTATCGAATGATCATGCATCTCTCATGCGCTCTTGAGTCGGGTAAGCTCCTACGTCCTGCCTTGGCATCGCTCGACCGGGGCGGGATTCCGGGGTCATGTCCGGTTCAATACTTCTAGAAGGGTTGGTGGCTGAGCCGCACGCCGTAACCAACCAATCAGACGAGCAGCCCTCGACCAGACCTGGCAAGACATTTAGCCTAATAGTGGTAATATCTACCCCGACCTTTGTGATCTCCTCTTGTGCGGCCCGCAATATGGACTCGCATGGATATACAACCTAGCATATAAGAACTCCCCTGCCCAGATGAGCTCCAATTCTTCCCCAGTATTCACTCCACCTCCGCCTTGCAATCGTCGTTGGCCGCTGGAACAGTTGGTCAATACTATCCGCAATGAGTCCCCGTTTCAAGCGTCCCAACCAGACCAATGTGGTCGAGGCACAGGAAGCTGCGCCTGAGCTTCCACCGGTATCATGGAGCAAGTCACCCAACATGCGCAAGCTTTACTTCTACTGCATGATTCTTTGCGTCTGTTCGGCCACCACCGGTTACGATGGGTGAGTTCTAGGTCCTGCAAACAGAGAAGGTCCAGTGACTAACTGTGCGAAGATCTCTCATGAACACTTCTCAGCTCCTTGACTCTTGGAAGACCACGATGGACAACCCTTCAGAGGACACTTTGGGTCGTCTCAGTGCCATGTACTCGATCGGTTCCATCGCTTCACTCCCCGTGGTACCATGGCTCAGTGATAAATATGGGCGCAAAACCCCCATTACTATTGGTTGCATCATTATGGTTATTGCCGCCGCCGTTCAGGCTGCCTCCATGAGCCGCCCACAGTATGAGGGAGGACGTTTCTTCATGGGTTTCGGCAACTCCATGGCTCAACTCTCCTGCCCTATGCTTATCACTGAAATCGCGCATCCTCAGCACCGTGCCAGGATTACCACCGTCTACAACTGCTTGTGGAATCTTGGTGCCCTGATCTGTGGTTGGTTGGCTTTCGGCACACAGCACATCCCCAACACCTGGTCCTGGAGAATTCCGACCCTCATCCAAGGTATCTTCTCTATCGTCCAGCTCATGTTCATCTGGTGGATTCCTGAGTAAGCTTCTTCCCTATTACAAACTGTCTTTCGCAATTGGCTGACTTTGATTTCCAGGTCCCCACGTTGGCTGTTGTCCAAGGACAGGAACGACGAGGCGCTCCGCATGCTCTCTCACTACCATGCCGACGGCAACGATAGCGACTCCACTGTCATGTTCGAGTATGCTGAAATGAAGGAGACTATCCGCATCGAATTCTTGCACAAGAAGAACTCGTCATACATGGACTTTATTAGGACTGCAGGCAACCGCAAGCGGCTCTTGATGATCATCTCCCTCGGTCTCTTCTCTCAGTGGTCTGGCAATGCCCTTGTTAGCTACTACGCTGGTATTATCTACGAAGGTGCCGGTATCACTCGCCAGACCGACAAATTGGGTTTGGACGCTGGAAACAAGATTCTCTCCTTGATCGTCTCCATCTCATGCGCTTTGTTGGTCGACCGTGTTGGTAGACGCCCGCTTTTCCTCGCTGCGTAAGTTTGCACATCCACTTCATTCGCCACATTAACTAATTTACAATAGCACCGGTGGTATGCTCTTGTTCTTGATTTGCGCTACCATCACTGGTGAGCAATACGCCGCGAAAGGTACCCTTGCAATTGGCTATGTCAACATTGTCTTTGTCTGGCTGCACGGTGTCGCTTACGCCCTGGCTTGGTCTGGTCTCCTGGTTGCCTACACCGTCGAGATTCTGCCCTACAAGCTCCGTGCCAAGGGTGTGTTCATCATGAACATTTCCGTTCAAGTCGCCCTCACGATCAACAACTACGTGAACCCTATTCCCATCTCCGAGGGTGGCGGTTGGTACAAACAGAATTGGAAGCTGTTCGCCTGCTATGCTGGCTGGGTTTTCCTCGAGTTGATCTGGGTCTACTACTTCTACGTCGAGACTCGGTACGTCACTTTTTGTCCTCGCCTATATGAATCAAAGCTAATATTCCCTGCAGTGGCCCCACTCTCGAGGAGATTGCTCGTATCTTCGATGGCGATAACGCAGAGGTTGCTGACATTGATATCGATGGCAAGGGTATCAGCAACCGCAATGACAGCATCAAGGAGGCTCATGTGCAAATCGAGAAGGCATAGGCGACCCCGTCACTATCTGTTAGCCACGTCGTTTTAGGCTATATAGCAATGTAGCATGTGTGCGATTTAGTGTTAGAGCCTATGGCGTTAGCCAGAGAAACAAGAACTTATTAGTATCGAACCAGATACCCATTACCAAACCATCGTTGCAGTAGAGTGTGAATGCTACTTCCTTTTCGACTTGATCACTCGCCGTGAGCAAGGAACTACATCCGTATATCCAGGCAAGATTATGGCCCATGACGAGGTACTATACCTAATTGCATCAAACACACTTAGTATCCGGGAACAGAACGGGGTTCATGGAGAGAAGTTGCCCGAGATACAACGCCGAAGCGAAGTAAGAGGTCAGAGACGAAAGTTTTGCTAGGAATCCTGGTGTGAAGATCTCAAGGGGAGACCGAAGGTTGCCCATTGCTTGCAGTATCGGATCTGTTGTATGGTTAGAGATAGAATGTTGGCACGCCAAGTTTTCGGAGATCCTCGGACGAGCGTCTGTAGCAAGACCCTTGTGTTTGTTCTCACATGTATGCAGATTGTCGATAAGTCTGTGCATCCAGGTTGATATAGCCTCGAGTAATTATGTGTGAATAGTTCATGAAGTTTTCT